TAACTTCAGGATAACTAGCCTGCAATTGCAATTCTCTGGAGAATATACTTGAAAGCTCAAGTATAAAACTTCGTTTTTATCAACATTTCCAACAACATTCTGTATATGCAATGAAAAGGTCTTTAAGTAATATAAAAGCTCATAAATGTAAGAGACTGTGTGAACAAAGTATGTGTTTTATTAGTAACTGTAAATAAAACCACAAGAAAAAAGGAGAAAAATCTATAACTAAGCACAATTCCGTCACTGTAGCCATTGCATTCTGGTTTTTTTTCATGACAAATCAAAGTCCAGAGGAGGCGAGGTATCTGCAGCATGATCACTAATGAATGGTAGAGTTCAGCATCCAATTCCCTCCCAGTTCTTTTTTTTTGTTTTTTTTTTGTTGTTGTTGTTGTTGTTGGTGGTTTTTTTTGTTTTGTTTTTTTTTTTTGTTTTTTTCTCCGGTACCGGGAACCAAACTCACGACCTTGCGCTTGCCAGGCAAACGCTTTTGCCGCTGAGCTAAATACCCAGCCCCAATTCCCTCCCAGTTCTGGGGTTCTCTCCGACACACTGTCCTGAACATGCACAGAAAGCCACGGCACCAGAGAAGTTTTCCCGAGCTCATGTTGGGATTTATGTCCAAATGAAAATCTCAACTGGAGAAGAGATGATGAAATATGCTGGCATCATAGGCATCTCAGAAACATTTGAGAATTAAATGCATTTTTGGTAATTGATTCTCCACTGGGCAAATGAAGAGACGGGCACGTCTTCCAAAAGGTCCAGAGGGAAGTCTGAAGGTTTTTCCATTTCGTTGCTAATGAGCCATTTTCACCTAACTCCTGCTCCCGTCACTCCCCCTGAGGAGCCAGCTGTCAGTGTGCACAGTTGAGCAGGTTTGGTACCAGACAGGTGGCCTCAGGGTGGAGAAGAAACCCTGTCAGTGGGATGTGTTTAATCCCGAGTTAGGATGATGCACCTGGTGTCATTACAAATTGACTGCACATCTTGAATGATTAACTGCAATATAATAAACACTTAACAGCTAAACTCAAAATATCCTTGGAAAGAAAAATAAGAGCATGTGGCATTAATTGAATATTTGAGAAGTCTGATATTCAGTGATGGGTCAGTGAAATCCATTTAGAAACGACAGATTTTTATTCACTGTTTATAGGAAAAGTGGATTGGATTATACTATTCCAGATTCTTTTTAATTTTTCTTTTTTTTTTTTTGGTTTTTCTCCGGTACCGGGAACTGAACTCATGACCTTGTGCTTGCCAGGCAGGTGCTTTTGCCGCTGAGCTAAATCCCCAGCCCCACTATTCCCGATTCTAACAGTTTACATTTTGTAACCTGTGTTATATAGATTTTCTGAAGTTTCTTGAACCCTGGACCTTGCACATACTAGGAAATCATACCCTACCACTGGGCCACATCCTCAGCACTGTGAAAACTTTCTTGACATGAGTATGAAATTTAAATTTTGGTAAATCAAAAGCTATGTAATTTCTTGAACAGCACTATTACCTGAAAGCTTTGGACAAGGTAAAATGTGTGTCTAAGGTACATTTTGGTTCTACTCAAGAAATCCCTGCCTCTCAGGGATGAAGGATAACGATGTAATCGACAGGTCACCGAGTATTTAGTTGAAGTTTTTGTATCTCACTGATTGAAAGGGATGAGTGATCTCAGTGTAGTTCTGATCAGCTAGCAAGTTGGATTTTCCACAGGGGTAAGACTTGGGTCAGTGTTATTCGAGTTAGTGCCCATCCGCTCTGAACTGTGCATATCTCTCTCCCCACCAGTGGCTACACTGTGAATCTGTCAATGTGCTTGTACGACAATGCTTGGTAATTAAGCCTGGTTTTAGTGAGCTGAGCAATGTATTCCGTATACTTCTTTAGTTAGTGCTTTTTGGATTGTACAGTGCCCAACCTCATATATACATTCACACGTCTGTTCTCTGGATGTTGTCCTCAGTGACATTAGGACTCTCTTAACAGAGTACCACAAACACTTCCAATGAAAGAAATTTGGGAATGTGGGAAAGAGAGTTATTGGGTAATCGTATAGGTTTTTGAAATTTAGGACAATTATAAAGGTTTTTTTTTCCTGTAGGTAAGGTAAAATACATCTTTGATTTTTAAAAATTATAGTAAAATCATACAAGATAAATTCATGTTGACTAAAAGGCAGTGATACAAGGTTATGAATAGTGGGACATCTCATCTGCTTCCTGAGTAAATAATCTAGGATGACTTGCTGGAGCTAAATTGAAACTGCTTTTAAAGAAAGTGGAAAAACAACCTGCCAGAGGTCATAATTTTTCATAAAATGTGACTTGTGGTGCAGCAACTGTAGTTTTCCTTTTTTTATTTTAAAAATTAAAAAACTGACAAAATTACAATGAAGACAAAATGAAAACAACACAAAAACAACAAAAATGATACATGACCTGAAGACAAAAGTATAGAAATTTACAGTGGTTGCTAAATTGCATACTGTTATCTTCAATGAAGGTGCTCAGTCCATTAGACATAAGAATGTGAGATTGATCAAACAATCAAAGATAGTAACAAGTAAAAAACAATAAAAATAATTGTAAAAAATCATTGGACATGATACAGAGTCACCGTACAAAATGGTAGGAGCTCAACCATTCTTATACTGCATGTTGTTTTCAGATCAGTCATTCTAATTACCAAATTTAAGTCTATAAAATTGGTCAAGAAAAAAGGAAAATTTTAAGCATGTACTGTTTCCTGAGACAGTTATTATAATATTTTAAGTAGTCAGAGAATCTGAAATCATTATCCAAAGAAATTGCAAATGACTTTCTTAATATCTAGTGGTAAATATGTGGTTGAAATATGAAGAAATCATGTTTTATCAAAGAATTATTTTCTTATTCTTTATAAAGGTTTGAGCAATCTTTCATTCTCACATCTGTAATCTGAGCAATGTAGTTGAGGACAGCGATATGTAATGTAACAACCAATGTTGATTCATATTATTTTGTCTTGAGACCCTGTATCACTTTGAATGTTCTTGCTTCGATTTGTTTATGTTTGTGATACTGGTATGCTGCTACTGTTCTATTTCTTTGTTTATTTCTCATTTACTACTCTCTTTAAAATAAAAAAAAATAAAAACTGAAGATCTGGAAAAAGATTTTCTTAAAATGAAAAAAAAAAGAAATATGAAGAAATCAGACTTTAACTCCAGGTGGAATAGTCTCTGTGCCACAATCCTCTGCTTTAAAAGCAGATGTGAGCTTTTTAAGAACATAAGACTAAAAAGATTTTGCTTCTCAGAAGCAAACTTGAGTAGAGCATTTGAAAATAATGGCGGACATCACCATGTGCTGGGTAGATAGTGAACTCTTTATATGCCCTCACTTTATCTTTCAGTACTTGCAGAAAGCCAAAGTTGTTGACCTCAAAAACAGTAATGCTGTGTGATTTCTTTCTAAGTATTGTGTAAGACAAAGAGTACAATTTTGTAATCATTCCAAAGTTAAGAAAAAAAAGTGAGAAGGCAGGGGGAAGAATGGAAGGAAGGAAGGAAGGAAGGAAGGAAGGAAGGAAGGAAGGAAGGAAGGAAGGAAGGAAAGGGAGAGGGAGGGAGGGAGGAAAGAAGGAAAAAAATGTGAACTCACAATTCATCAACAAAAGTAATGAGAGCTTCACTTGTTAAGAGCACAAGAATTCGGTTTGTTTTGAAGTGATTTTATAATACAGTATCTATTTTCTCACACCATTTTGTACTTGTAGAGTGAGCATAAAAAGGGTTTGCTTTTCGTGTTACATTTTAAAAATGAATTTGTATCTACAGTCATAATTAAATTCAGAACTAATTTCAGAAATGCGAGCCTGTATAAAGAAAATCTTATATTGACTCGTGAAATTCCACTACCTTGTCCAGTGAATATGACAATTTCCCGTGGGCCCAGCTGATGTAAACACGAATCAAAAAATCAGGGCTCCTTGAAGAAGACTCCCAGCAGCTTCAACATTTTTGCCCATCTTATCATTAAACGTGCACCTTAGGTTTCCCTGGATGCATCTTAAAATGGAATCTTGGTTGAGGGACTGCAGTCAGTCTGAAGTCATTTATCTAATGTTCCCAAATCTCTATTCCAGTTTAGTTTTTACAGATGTCATATGTATGGGGAGTTATGCTGATTTTGTGATGGCTGGCACATTCATAAACATATAAAAGAGTAAATTTTACAGAAATATAAATTTAATTGAATGCAGAATTTCATGAAGCAAGGAGTTCATTAAAATGAAATAGAGGTGGCTTCCCAGTACAGATTTTCTGCAGGTCACCAGAAAATGCACAAAAATTTTTGTAAAAATACTTTAAGATGTGAGTGACTCAAACTTGTAAGAAGGAAGAGGTGCTTTAAATTCCTTGCATAAAATAAATAATAAAGGAGCCGGGGATATAGCTCAGCGGCACAAGCGCCTGCCTGGCAAGTGCAACATCCTGAGTTCGATTCCCGGTACTAAAATTAAAAAAAAAAAAGAACATGGATAGATATTTAGGGCCGGGGATACAGCTCAGCGGCACAAATACCTGCCTGACACGCACAAGGTTTGATTCCTAGTACCAGTAAATAAATGAAAAACATAATAAAGATAAGATTACAGATACTAAGTTTAGAGTAAATTATTATAAAATAATCAAAAATACGAAAGGCTGGAAGTACGCTGTTAGATATTTTCAGCTATGATTACACATGAAAATTTAGTGGTTTTTTTTGTTTTACTATTAAATAAAAGTAGGGAAACATAATCCAAACAACAGCAATTAGATAAATGTATCTAATTAGAAATATTTTAGATACTTGTGTTATGGAAAAGGGCATAATGATTGGATGTGTAACTGAGTAGAACCATGACTTAAAATGTGTGATAAGAAGAAAGGGTTTTGGTTAAAGAAAGAAAAAAAACATTACAATCAGAATAACTTTAATCATAACAGTATATATATATTTTATTGACAGGTGTTCCTACAAGATTGCCGTTTAATGTCATTCAAGATCTAAGCAACATCGTTTCTGCATGACCACTGCAAAAGGACGACTTCACAGAATCCAGTTCCTGATTCGAGAGAACAGTTTGGACCCTGTTTCTGAAGGCAGGTATGGTTCTTTTATTAAGCTGCCGCACAGAGGGAAAGAGTGCTGCGGGGCGTCCGAGGCCCGACGTCTTTGCGGTCTGTCATAGCGCCTTCACTTCTGAGCTGCGTCTCTATGGTGGAAGCTTGGAAACTTCTGTGTGCAATCTGAGTATTTGTCTTAGCTTTTTTTTTTTTTTTTTTTTTTTTTTTTGGTTTTTCTCCGGTACTGGGAACCGAACTCACGACCTTGCACTTGCCAGGCAGGTGCTTTGCCACTGAGCTAAATCCCCAGCCCCTTGTCTTAGCTTTGATGTGAGAACTCTTTGGTCATGACAGTAAGCATCACTGCTCTAAATATCCTGGAAGTATAAAAGTGGAAAATGGTAAAATATGTTGTTTTTATTTGATTTCTCATTAGATATGAGTAGCGTTTTACACAGAGACGTTGTGCTGTTGCTGCAAGTAGCAAAAGAAACAATACTGTGATGTCGCCTTCTGTTTCATGTCTTTTTTGGTGTTTTTCAGTTTGAAGGCAGCAGTTAAGTTAAATAGGCAGGAAACTGCAGGCAGAGATGTATAGTGATCTCTACCAGTGCAGAGAATCTCTGGAAGGAGGATAGCTTTTATGCTATTTGCTCATGAAATTCGTATATGATCAACAAAATCACTATCCATTATACATATTTTAAGTAAAATTAAACATTGTTTTAACTTAATGATAGTCCTTTAAAAGTAACACTTTGAAATACGTCATAGGAACATGTTTTCCATTCATGACCAAATGAGCACAGACTGTATTGAATTAAATCCACTGTGTATTACTGAAATACAATACTTACGATGTAATTTGTAGAGTCAACTGAGGAGGGGAATTCATTCTACATACAAAGTGAGTTATCCTTTCTATTTATTCATAAAATTTTGCATATATCATACTCAGTTTCAAAGTTGTTACATGCCTGTCCTCTGATTTGTCAGGATAATTGATCAAAAATTATGGACGGTATGCTCTCCAGACTTTTCAGTTATATTTTCAGTTTCTTGAAAATTGATTAAAAATTAGGGTAAGTGGAAGAATGTGACTAAATCTGTTTGAAAGCCATTTTATGGGAAAGTGGAAGGGTCAAAGTTTTACAAGCAGGTTTCATTTTATTTTCTACTAGCCGCATCCAAATTCTGGTGACTCACTGCAGAAAATTTTACATTTCATATACATCCCACCTATTGCATTGAATCATGCCAATGTGTCATCTTGATTGAAATCTCTAAACATGCCAGGTATACTTAAGTTAGACTTGTGGAGGAATGCAACCATACATCCTCTTGATAGCTGATAGCTAGGTAGATAGATAGATAGACAGATACATAGATAGATAATAGATGATTGATAGAAAGATAGAGAGATAGATGATAGATGATAAATAGATGATAGATAGATGGATAGATAGATAGATAGATAGATAGATAGATAGATAGATAGATAGATAGATAGCTAACAAGAGAAATGAATCAATACAGAAAGGGATGGAAAGTATCTGCACTGAAACCCCGAATTATAGAACAAAAGTGAGTTTCCCACAAACTGAAGCATTGCTACATTCTACCATTTGAAAGATTTAAGACAGATTTTTTTCTATCATAATTCTGCTTGTTACAAAACTATGCTCTCACAATAAGTTATTTATACAAAATAAAATTAAGCTAATCTGTAGTCTGTCTGCAAATAAGCACATCTGTGCATGAAGCATTTTGCCCTTCACTCTTAATCATGATGCGCCTGAAACAAACTCCACGCGAACTTTCTCCTTAGAAGTCTGTTGAGTAGTAGAAATAAATTAAATCTCTGCACCTTAGTTGAATTTTGCTATGTTAGAAACAGGTTATTTATGGTGCTTGTGACATTCAGAGAAAGGTATCTAAGTACAGCATAGCAGTTGGAGAGTCAGAGGGTTTCAGAGCTAGTGCTTGCTTCCAGATGGATGATGGATATGCCACTTAAATTTGTGCTAGACTTATCAGCACATGGAAATCGAATGGAGTAATTGTTTTGGTATAGTCTATCAATTATCAACTGAATTGTATTGTATTAATGTATTTCAACAGGCTGTATTAATTTTTGAATAGAGTCTTTTCATCAACCTTTTAATAAGCGCTGGTTTCTGCACAAGGAACCTATGGAACCTGTGGAACCTTGTTCCATAGGAACCTATGGATGCTGACTCAGCAGAGCATACTTGGTTCGGATCCTGTCACTCTTGCTATTGCTCTCCCCAGTTAATTGAAAGGCATGTGGGTGGAATAGGAAGCAGTTGAAATAAATGACACAAGCTGAACGCGGCAAAGCAGACAGAAGTGAATTAAAACTGATGGATCTGGTGAGAGTGGATTCATAGTGTCACTTCAGATAAAAACCCATTTCACTCATGTCCTTGCAGGTAATCTGTCCTACAGTCACGAAAGATATTCCAGGGACATGCTGACAGCTTCATCTTGACTCAGAAGCAACGTATATTAAAAGCGGTCCCTAGCGGATCCGTTCAGAATGATGTGTTTCACTACATAAGCCACAGGATGCGCTCCGTACATCTTGGCTCAGTTCCAGTAGGAAGAGCTCTGTTCCTCAGAGAAGAGCCCCAGTGGTCAGTTTAAGAGCTGGCCATTTTCTTTTCACTCTCTGAAAGAAAACTTCCTTACTATCCTTATATGCAACTGGAATAGTATACGTAATAGAAATCCAGTGTTCTCTAAACTTTAAAAGTAAACAATTAAATTCTCATCATTAATGGTTTTGAAAATTGCATAAAATTGAAGAAAAAACTTCTATATATGTATTAGTTGATAAGTAAGGATTTTGTATGTCAACAGCCTTGCTACTTTTTAAAATATTTAGAGTGTGGCTTAAAATAATGAGAGAAATTGAATTGTGATAGTATTGCCTGAACATCATAAATAATTTTCTAACAATTCCAGTGTCTTCACTTATCAGTGGAAAGGGGTAAGTGTTAATTGTCAGGAAGGGAGGTGGAACAATTCCTTTCAAAACTATTATTCAATAATAAAACCTTAATTCACCTTGAGGTGTTCGTTATAACATATATATTTGGCTATTTGTAAAAAGTTATTGTATATCTTACTATTTGTGTAAAATTAGTTATGCATTTTAACCACATTTGTAGCTCTTTTAGTAACAGTATGCTTTGAAAAATTTCATAGGACATTTGTTTATGAATTTATGAGGATGCCTGAGTAGGTGAAGTAAAATTGAATTCTTAAAGAAGTAATTTATTGTGTTATGAAACATTGCACAATCTAGAGTTATGCAAATTTCTTAGGCAGTATTCATCTGTACCAGCCAGTTGTGGGAGTGGGAGGGGTAGCTCAATGGCAATAAAGGATGTCCCAAATATCAGCATCTTCGTAGAAGATATATTGGTGAATCAATATTTATAAAGTATGATTTCTAAGGATATGAAGGAAAACTGATTTTGCACAAAGAAGGACAGTGAAAAATAATTTATGTGAGTGGCATAATATGACTGAGGTGGAAGGCAACCATAGGTTGTGAGCATACAAACTCTTTGGTCAGTATGGATGAATGCAAACTATTTAATGCATACTTGCCCAGTAAATAGTATCTTTTATTAAGTATTACTATTGTGACATGAACTCATAGAAATGGAAGAAATATTTACATATAATCTGTGGCATATTATACGACACCTTTGAATGCCAAGGAAAGTTGTTCATGCAAGACAAACCTCAAAATGACTTTCTGGAATACTTTTGTCAGCATACAAAAGTTTCCTTCCAGTCCTGGTGCCGTGTAAGGGATGGAAACACTCTGAGGCTGCGTCGTGTGAGTTCTTTAAGGCTGTCCTGCAGTATGTGAGGGGTGTGTTTGATGAGTCTGAGACTCAGGCGATCTCTCTGTACTCAGCCTCCTGAAGAAGGGCAAGTCTAGACTGATAAATGAACAATGAGATGCAGACTCTCAGCTATCAGGTTTGCTGTGTATTTTGAGGCAGACGTGACAAATGGAAAGACTACAAGCTTTTGAATGAGACAGATTTAGAATTTAATATGTAATATTTGCTAGCTTGCGCCCTTATCTTAATTTTATGAGGTCAAGTTTCCTTCAGCTATAAAAATAGATAATACTCTCATGTTTGCAAAGGTGCAGAAACTTTAAGTAAAATATATATGTATCAGTGCCTACGTAAACAATGACACAGTAACATATATTTGAGGCTGCTATGGAGAAGGTGCTCAGCAGATGCTCGTTAATGGGATAAAATGAGTACTGTACAGTAGCCTTTCTCTCTCTGAGTAGAACCAAACTTCATTGAGAGTCTGACAGTAATTTCTGAAAGTAAAGATAAAACAGAGAAAAGGAGAACGGGAAGGAGGCAGGGAGGAAGGGGAGTGGAGAGAGCGAGAAAGAGAGAAGGAGAGGAAGTAAAAGAGAGAGAGGGAAGGAGATAACGGGGTAAATAGATGGGCTTGTTCTTAGCATTAATAATGTATGTCTTCTGGGCTCCTGTGGGTTATAAGATTGACACAGAAAAATATTACAGTCCTATTTGTCAGAAATGATTACAATATGAAAATGTAAAAAGCCTCCCATTCATAATTGAAACAATGATGATATAACACTGTGCTTGGTTGGGGTTCATACACAACACTAGTTCCTAATTTCGTGTTCTCTAGCATATAATCTAACCAGAGAGCCTAACGGCTGCTTTTCTCATGACCCATGCTCAAAGATTCACCGTGCATGCCGTTCTCAAGGAGACAGTCCTGTGCTGGGGGAGGTGGAGGAGATGCAGCCGTCCTGTCCTTGTCAGCTACCTTCCCAGGATGCTTTTAAAGGAATCTCCTGGCTCAGCGCTGAAACTGTGCTCACTGCTGGTGATTCTCCAGAATTCCTGCGATTTCTAACTCTTTGGAAGCTGCCAGCTAATGTCAGATTTAGCAGCCTCCTAATATTTGTCTCTTCCACAATTCTAGCAGTTTTAAATATCT